AAGGAACGAATCCTTGCAAGTGTGTCTCACAGTCACTGATCCAAGAAGATAACCAAGTTTTTGAGATAGCAATGATGTCAGGGCTTTCGTTGCTTATCACATTACTAAGCTCAGTTCACTTGTTTCAAAGGCTACGTGCATTTGTGTACAAGACAACGAAACTACTTAAATGAGTTTCCGTCCAATCCATTGAGGCTTCGGCATCATTTGTTGCCGAAACCTCACTACACGAAAACCTACTGCATTCAGGTCTTGCTCTCCAGTTGCTAATCTGGATTTTAGTTTTGCTTCTCGTTTGGTAGTTCCTACAGTTTCTAAATAGTGTTTCTGGCAGCATCTGTTAGTATTGAGTGCGTTATCACCCCTCAGGCGCAAGAGAAAATTTAATCCCCCTGAAAAAGTACAACAGTTTTGACTCAAACAATCATCTGAATAATGGGGTGAAATTCTGTTTGAGGCTCTTAAATAGGTTTACTCTCCATCAGCTTAGATAAAGTGACCTTTTCATGAATTTCAAGATCATCCATTTAGTGATCTATGTGAAGGAAAGTATCCTATCCTCAATATAACGGTTTATACTACGTATTCTGTTCAGAATGGACGGTCAGAGAGCCAACATCAGACTCAAGTGAACACCTTTCTTAAGATAATATTCCTTACAGAATGGTTTGCCGAAGTACGTAGCTGCAGCCAACTTAGTAGACCCGTCTAAATGAAGGCTGACCAGTTCACCGACGATTGCCAAAATATTAACGCTCTCGCATTTCGTCCCTTAATGAAGGATAAATTTGTGGTTAACAGTTTTCGGTGAACAGTCGCTTCATTTTTGCCTTCAGTATAATACACTGTTGTGAACTTTTGTTTATCAGCTGTTGAGATAAGTGCTGTTTTGTCTAACTTGAGTGACTAAATTAAATTATGACCCGTCACACAATACGTTTGATCATCAGTCCGACAAATAAATGTGCATCCATGGTTGCGTCATATCATTGCCGTTTACTCCACGTGACATACGAGCACCAAGTCTTGGAAACCTCTGCCTATTCATTAGTTCATACTGATTTCTCGAACTCAGTAGCAGCCTTTAATGTCAGTGGCCTTTGGGTGACCTAGGTCAGAGTTATGTGAAGAAAGTTGAGTTAACAATAAATTTTTGTAGCTAATATGAAGCAATGCTTCTGGAACCAATTTCATATTAGATTGATTTAATCATCATCATGATCAACATCAACATAGGATCAGGTATTACTGCCTAACGGTCCGAGTTGCCACAGCTCATAACAGTACATCAAGTAAAAAGGTAGTGAAATGAAGGATAAAGATAAGAGAATGCAGTCAAAAGAAATATAAAGTACGAGAAGAGAGAAAAGAGGAATGACAAAATGGTGAGATTCGGTATAGCGTTAAGACAAGGATAGTGTGTGTATACATCTGCGCCACTGACATCGGTTCTGAGCCATATCCCCTAGAGTCTCCAGGCACTGGTTCCTCCTGTCCCGCGGACCCCAACCACCTTGTCTGCATCACCCTACATGGCTCAAACCAACAGTCAAAGACTTCATACATTGGTGCCATGTTTTGGTCTGGCCACCTCGGGCCTTTTCCCAACCTGGACCTACTTCAGCCAAGATTGTGTGACGAGGCAATCGGCGACTAGGCATACGCAACACATGTCCCGACCATCTGAGTCGATGAAGGTTCACAACCATGTCAACTGACATACCTTTACTCCCTAAAACTCTATACCTGACTTCTGCATTACTCACGTGGTGACACCACAGAATACGACCTATACTACGAAGGCAACGGTGGTCAGACACTTGAAGCCCTCTCATATCTTCCGCTTTCAATGGCCACGTTTCACAGCCGTACAGTGGAACAGAGCGGACTGCTGTGCAGCACACGCGACCCTCAGTAGACAAACGTATATCACAGCGATGCCATAGGTGGAGTAAATTGGCAAAAGCCAATCGAGCCTTTTGTATCCGTACAGAGATTTCACCGGCAACTAACCCACCAGGGTTGATCCTACTTCCCACTTCACTCCCTATTGTTAGCCGAGGCACCGTTGAAGACCAATCCTGGAGCAACAATTTGCATTTGGGTGGTGAGAACCGCATCCCAAACATCTTCAAATTCCCACTCAAAGTGTTCAGAAGACTCTGCATCTTGTCAGCGTCTTCACTTAACAGGACTATGTCATCTGCATATTCTAGGTCTAACGAAAATCCTCCTGTGATTGGGTCAACGTCTGTGTAATTAGGTGACGAGAGGGAAACCTCCATAAGAATATCTATGATGAAACTGAATAGGAATGGAGACAGTGGGCATCTTTGACGGACACCACTCGATGAGCATAGCTCCCTGGAAATCTCACCATAGGCTCTAACACGCTCACAAGTGTTCGAGTAGAGAGCTTTCAATAGGCTGATGTACTTACTCGGCACGCCTTTCAGTGATAGACATTGCCATGAGACTTCTCGATCAACGGAGTCAAATGCACGTCTGTAAGCGTGCCTATGTTCCAGGACCTGGTGCAGTGTGAATATTTGGTCGATATACCCGCGGCCAGGTCTATAACCTGCTTGGTTTTCTCGGACTTGCTGTTCCCGAGCTCCACTCAGGCGTCGGAGAATTACAGAACCTAGGGCCTTGGGCACTATGTTCGTCAGGCTGATTCCTCTGTGGTTATCACAAGAGGACTTCTCACCTTTCTTGAAGACTGGGATAATGAGTGACTTAGACCAGTCGGAGGGGATCGTATTTGATTCCTATATACTAGCTAACACTTCCGTTAACCTGACTAAGAGCACTGCACCACCATTCTTGTATACCTCAGCAGGTAGTCCGTCTGGTCTGAAATCGGTGCTGGCTAAAAATAGGTGGTTATCTGAGCACACTTGTAGTAGGCGATCACCGTTATCTGGTCATCCAGCCGAAATTCTGACAGTGACACCTAAGTGCCTTTCTGCCTCACTCAGCCTACCCACCTGTGCGTTGAAGTCACCTGCAATAACCACCACGTCCGAACGGTTGGTTTTCAAAAGGAGGCTAGACCGTTTACGGTAGAACTCGTCCTTCACTTCATCCGAACTAAAGTCAGTGGGTGGGTAAGCAGAGATTACAAAGAGGCAGCAGCGAGTCTCACTGTTCCTTTTAGTTCTCACCGTGCCGTTCAGCCTCATAGCGCAGAGGCGACTATCAACTGGGATCCAGTCTAGTGGTGAGCTTTCTGCCCTAGTGCTTAATGCTATGCCTACACCTGCAAGACCGCAAGAGCTAGTCATCGAATCTCCAGAAACTCGAAGAGTGAATTTTACGGGTCCACCAGATTGGTCGGGAGAGGTTAGGTGAATAACCGCACTTGGGTCCTGTATGCATGTCTCACAAAACACAGCATACATCCATGGCCCCAGTTGCTAGTCTTTTCTAACGAAGCCTGTTGACCAATTTGACGGAGTGTGTGGACATTGAAGGCTCCAATATGTAATTTGGAGCGTGGTTTAATGAGACCAGGGATGCTGTTCTGTGGACTCAGATCGTTGTCGAAGACTGCAGAGCTAAGAGAAATTGAAGATGATGTAGTGTCGTTAGTTGAGAGATGTGAAGGAAGATTAGAAGGTAATGATGAGTGAGGTGGATAGCAGTCTGAGGAAACTTGAGTGCTGATAGAGTTGTGAGGGCGGTTGACACTTCCCGGCTGCCTACACTGTGGAAGGCTATTTCTTCTTAAGGTACCTAAGAGAGATTTGTGTGACCGCAGAGCCCAATGGACATCTGCTTGAGGCCTGTCACGCAGCCCTTTGCGTATGATTATTTTGAACTTTTGTATTTTCGGGGCTGGATGGTCGAAAGGAAACAACAAATGAACCAACACCGCCGGCCCGGCAGACCGTGGGGGATGGTGGAGTGTGTTATTTTCGGGGCCGGCCTCTTCCAACCCCCCACCCCTTCCACTAAGAAGGCAGCATCAGCATGCCACTGCTGGTCATCCAAGGGAAACGCCTTACTGCTGTTACACCCCATCGAGCTAGCAGCAGTACGACTTCGTCCTCAGACCCCCATCAAAGTGTAGCAATTTACCCCACAACGGTAACTGCTTTTCGTCTAACCACAATCCAACAGACCTTTCTGGTATGGTAGGACCTCGAGGGAACAAGCGCTCCACCAGCTTAGCTCGTCGGGTCATTGTGATATGCTAGCCCGACCACCACGTCCAGGTAGCAGCTATCTTTCGAGAGATTGATTTATTAGCCATCTGTAAGGAGAACGCATATTGTAATTGTTTTCTTCCCTATTGAAACATGAATGTGAATAACAGACAAGCCGTCTCCAGTACGTGATGTCTTTAGGAATTAAATGAGACATGCACGAAATACTTTGTAAGATATAGTCTTCAGAGGTGCTCATCTTCTTAGGTTAATGTTGGTTGAGGCATACTCATTTTCTAGGTAATATGTCATTGTTAAGTTTTTGGATGCCACCAATATTTTCATCAGTTTTTAGTTACTGTTTAAAGCATTCTTGCTTTTTATGAGACGTGAAGTTATCAGAGTATTTCTTTCAGACTCAGTAATTGGGAATACTTCTACATGTGCAGCTACAGAAACCACTTAGCTCAAGTGAAATCTTTTCGGCTTGATATGAGTTACACAGCTTGAGACACTAGAGTGGGTTTGTAGCTGGAAGTGAGAATGATAGTCTTTTGTCGTTCTTCGAGCTTTGGTCCTGAGTGACAAATCACCGGGTTAGACGACTTCGTCAGCGTTTACCTCTTTATTAAGGTTGGAGGACACCAGACAATTATTACTTAACATATATTTATATCCAGTGTACAGTCCCCAGTAATATTTAAGAAGTGGCGAGCCAGTGCAAACAAACAGGATAGGTTATTCGTGTTTATCAGTCTTGGTCATAGTTCAAATGTTTTTATATTTATAAGCTTGACAGTACACTAAAATTGCAGTTCAGAATCCTACTAATTTGTTATTCACTTTTAGAAACATGAATCCTCAATACGACAGTGCTTTACTAGGCATCTTGCAGCATGAGGGAAAGCTGGAGAAATTTCTAGACGTGATTTTCGGATTTTTAATGCGCAGGTATTGACCGAATTATCACTAACTGTTTTCAGGACTGATTTTTTCTATATCATGACACCAGAACAAAAGAAGTTGGGTTTCCCGAATGGTGTGAGCATTCAAATGGTCCTCAAGGTTTGTTTATTGTCGAAATAATTTCAAGGCTTATGAGAAATATAAAACAATATTTGAGGGTTATCAGCATCTCCGTGAAGAATCACCAACTAATCTACCTACTAGTAACTTTTCTTCCTAGCTTATTTCCAGAAAATCAAGAGGCAGCTTACAGAAAAGACTTAAGTGAGTCCGGTACCACCCGTTTGCCTTCGGATGGCAATGGGAGCACTTGTGAAAATGCTTTAGAAGTTAAAAATCCTGTACCCGAAACTGAGGCGCAAGAGTATGCATTTGCACACGTTTAATTATCTGTATTCAGCAACGATGTACCAAGTGTATACCAAGCAGATGCAGATAGTTACAATGGAGCCACAAGAGATAATTACACATGGAGCCAAAGTGTCAAGGATATTGACATTAAAATTAAGGTTTTTTGAGCCGAGCTTGAATAATTTTTCGTATGCACAGACTCCAGAAAGTGTAATAAACGCCCGTGACGTGTCTGTGAACGTTGAACGTAAACGTATCCGTATTTCAATTAGACAAAATGGCCAAGAAACACCTTATTTTGATCGTAATTTGTGTTGGGATATTCATAGAGATAATGCCGTCTGGACGTTTCATCCAAAGGAAAACCAAGTGAGCTATTAATTTCATACTTGCTACTCATTTGAACCGAAAATTATTTTATATGCTTCACCTTGAATTATGTTAAGTAATCTCTGTAGCGTTCATTTAGGTGTTTTCAAAGTCTTCTTAGGTTCGGTCTGTACTACCTTTTGTAATCGTGGCTCATTGCTTTTGGTAGTCGACTTTCAGATAACAAGTTGTAAGTCCGATTTTTGTTCCACAAACCGAAATTTGGAAGACGAGTAGGTATCGAAAACCACACAATAAATGCAATTCATCATGTAGTCCAAAAACCTGTATTAATCAAATACTATTTCGAGTAATTTGAAATTGCATCGTTTACTTTTTGTAACACATTCGGAACCAAAAGATGTGCTATGTAAAATATCAGAGGAAAATGAATGAAATAGACAGACACCTTTTGGAAGCTCTCACAACACTGTTCACATATGAAGAACAGCATAATCGCAACGCATTTGGATTCTGAGTCATACCTGATAATGCGTCAAATAAGCTGGTATAGCTTCTCGCTGTTACTTAAGGTAAACGTAGCCTTCAACTCAGTTGCTTGCTGTGACAGCCAAACCTCACATCCTTTGTGTAATTTTCGGCCTTAGGGACTTACGGACATTTGTACTCGCTACCACTGTTGACAAGTTTTAAGGAACTCAGACACTTCATGAGTTGAATGTTCTATGCTAAAAACGAGTTTGCCCACTACTTCTGTACTGTCTTTTTGGTAGAGTCAATACTCATGACCTTTTTTTCTCTGAGTAGTTATTTATTACTGTAACCGAACCTTTTAGCCTTACGACATGACGATTATTGGTGGAAACCTAGTTTAGTAGAACAACTTCAACTCCTGCGATAAGTGCAACACTCCTACCACGAAAGCTAGTCATTTATATCTTGAGTTCATCGAGTAGGTGTATGTGCATTTGTGTTTGTCTGATGTGCTAGTTATGTGATATGATGCACTTCAATTTGATGTAGTTCGTGAGCCACACTTTTGTGAGGGCTGATGCTAATACCCTTTTTTCCTGGTCAAAGTAAGTGGTGCCAGTTAAACATTGGTATCTCTAGGAAAAGGTTTTAGCAGTATAATTGTTTTCATATCATACCGTCGTTGATTGGACCGAATCGATCGGTCTCTATTAGTATACGGGCTCCTGTGCGGATGCCTCGATATTGCATACGTCCTAATTATGTTAATGATGGATCGTGGATAGCAATGGAATACAGTATGCGCATTTCGTCCTACTTGGGATTCCACTTCTAGCCATGATCCACCATTACCAAAGGTTGTAGCAGTTTTCAGTTCAAACTGGAAAGAACTTATGGTAGATCCTGCCGTATCTGCTACATTTTTGACACTGCATCCATTATTTCTTCTCGTAAGTTGAAAACACGTTCATTCCCAACATGATGTCATATAAACCACTTGTTTAGTGTGTTGTTTATCTAAAGTTGCGTAACACTGTCAAAATGCAGTACTCAAAAATTTAGAAGTTAATTTTATTTCATTAAAAAAATACAGATTCACTTATGTCTTGATAAAGTCCAGGAGCGTTGGTGGGAGGCAGCGTTTGATGGCGAAGCCAAAATAAACACTCGGAAAATTGATTGCTCTCAAGCTATGCATGAACTAGATGATGAAGCCCAGGCCAAAATCCATCAGCTAATGTACGATGAACAGTGCAAGCGTCAGGGATTGCCTACCAGTGCGCAAGAAGTAAGTCAAGGTTTTTTTAATATTGAGATTTACTTAGTATCTGAGAAAATATACCCATTTTTATTCACGAATGTGAAAAACAAGATATATATCAGCTAAATTATTTTTCTTTTCTTCTTGGTTGAAAAGGAATGTTTCTTCGCTGATATTTATATTGTTCTTATTCTTGAATTTCGTATTTGCCCATATACCAGCATTGTTGCTACGCCTCAAACTTTCTTATAATCCAGCCTTCGTATTTCACCAACCTATCTACATTACCTCATAGTAATTAAAAATTTATCAAGCCGTATATATAACCCCACCTAAGTAACTAGTTCACCAGTTACTAGCCAGGTCCTTAGCCCGGATAAAGAGGGAAGGTTGGATATAGGGCTAGCAACTCTAACCCGTAAAATCAATCTAACTGCTAAACAAACTTCAAGGCACAAAGCAAATACAAAAAATAAAATTAAACTTACTCCCCGCGGGAATCGGAGGGGCGAAATGATGCCAGTTGGTAAAGGCCTTCGCGAAACCAGTTGGCCGATTTGTCTTCTCTTCTCTCGATGAAAACAAAAGCAAGCATAGGGACATGGAATGTCCGCACCATGTCCGAAGCTAGCAAGGCTGCCCAGATTGCAAAAGAGATGAGAAGGTATGGTACAGGAGTGCTAGAAATCTGCGAAAACAGGTGGAATGGAAGTAGACTCTTCCAACTGTCGACTGGAGAGCCAATAATCTACTCCGATATTGTCACCCAAACAACAACCACGAGCGCACAAACCAACAAGCCGACGGAAGAGGCAGCGAAGACAGGACTCCAAGTCAACGTAGAGGAGACGGAGGTGATGAAGATATTCAACCACCACCACCACCAACGACAACAAGCACCAATGACCATGAACAGGAGTTACCTAAAGAAGTAGTCTCTTTCACCTACCTATGCAGGGCAGCATCGTTTCAACTACAGGTGGCACAGAAGAGGATGCCAAAGCCAGGATCGGAAAGGCAAGACGGGCGTTCATCAATCTAAAACAATCAGTGTGGAGATCTGCTGCACTCAACACAGCATAAAGAACAAGATCCGGATTTTCAACACTAAGTCGGTCAAATCAGTGCCTCTGCGTGATGGTTCAGAAATTTTGCGCGTTATGAAAAGCATTTCCAACAAACTACAGACATTCATCGACAGCCACCCACACTCGATACTGACGATCAGATGGCCGGAATAATAAGAATAAGCAACGAGTAACTAACTCTGGCAACGAACCAACCAAGAACCCATCACCCAACAAATATGCAGACGTAAGCGGAGATGGATTGGGCATACAGTGAGAGGACCGATTGGGAACATCACGCACCAGGCCCTTGGGTGGAACCTGGATGGGAAACGACGAGTCGGGCATCTGAGACGAGGGTGACGTGAAGGAGGTGGTGTGATGAAGAAATGAAGGCTTGTGTGCAGTCATGGAGCCGGGTCGAAAAGACTGCAGAGGAGAGAGTAAAATGGTGACGTGTTACTGAAGCCCTATGTTCCACTAGTAACCCAAGGGAGAAATAATAAACACAATATGTATGCCAAATCTGTGAGAAAGGGACAATCATCGACATTCCTCTTTCGTCGTTGGTGAACAAACCTTAATAATGTAACAGTAGAACTTGAATTTTATGGTAGCTTGTGATTATCTGTTAGACTTATTTATTCAGGGTAACTCATAGAAACAGTGGAACAATAACTGGACAATATTTCGGGTACAATTTAACACTAAAAATCACATGGACGTGGTTACATGACTCTGCTACTGAGCTATATGATCTCTTGAACTCTATTCTGGAATTCACCAGGCACCTGTGGATGCTAACCAAACACAGCTATTCTTAACCCGTCAGTGCCATGTCATACGCTGGCCACCCCCCGCTTCTTTCAGACGGCAGGCAGAATGAGCCTCTGTGGTTATATACGCAACACATATCCGAGCCACCGAAGACAGTTTTAAGATGACCAAACCCGTCACTCGCCTCACGGCATAGTTACTTGCATGGTGTTTCTACCGGGTGCAAGCAATCCAACGGGGACAACAGTGGTCGAAAATGCGAAACCGTCGGACATCCTCATCTCAGAAGTTTCATAAACGTGAAGAAGAACTGTCAATACCGATGCCTTGGATTTCCTGTCCTTTTACAAAGGTGTTAAATATTCCGAGTGGACATAACACGCACGCCTAACTGACAGCTAACTTCGTACGGAAAACGCACCAACTCGACCATTGGACGAAGACAGAAGAAGACTGAACTGGATGCGGGGATTTATTCGTCCGAGAATGATAATCAACTAACCTAAACACACGTGTCTATGCATACATATGAAATATAAACTTGTACAGAAATTGAGACATTAAACATCGTTAAAGTAAGCATTAACCAATCAGCAAATTACCTTAAGAATGGTGGCAATAAAGAATCACTGACCATACCGCATAAAGTAGTACAAAAACAACAATCTAAAAATGTTGAGATTATTAAACAGTGTTTTATGCGGAACTGGGGCATCCCAACACCTCTTTTTGAAAAATTAAAGACCAATACCTTCACTTTTTTAGGTTCAGTTTGAAACGTACTGTTTGAGACCGCTTCCGATCCGTGCATCTGGGTTGAAGCTCTTTGTTGATATCCGTTTCGGCGTATCCAGTAGAATGTCGAGTGGTATGGCTGGTTTCTCTGGTTGACCGGCCTTTCAAGACACAGATAATCTTTATGTCCCCCCCCATTTCTTCTGATCTACCTTTCTACTGTACATCACACTGCCACGTCTTCCCATGACAACACCCGTCCACATGCCATTTCCTGGTCTGCAATCTCGTACGTGGATGTGGTCTCCCTTGTTGAAGTGTGACCCGACTCTGCATTGTTTGTGCACGAAGTGATGGTAACATCGCGTGATGTGGAGTACGTAGCTTCCTTCCTGTCAAAACCTCCGCGGGAGATTTGCGATCTGGTAGGGCATCATTTAGTGTTGAGCGATAGGCCAATAGAAATTGTTGTATGATATTCATATCCTCTCCTTCTCTTTCTGCCTTGAGTAGGGCTCGCTTAAAGGTATTTAGAAATCTGGTCATAGGGTTGTGGATGGTACGGAGGTGTACGTATATGATGGATTGCACGCACATGGCAAAACTCCGTAAACCAGAATGAGGTCAATTATGACCCATTATCAAAAACAGTGGTCTCAGACAAACCATAGTAGATGAAAATATACGTTCGGCGTGATGATATAGGTAAACCTGCGACGATCTTCAGCTACCTGGAACAAGCGTCAAAAGTGATCAGATAATCGGTACCCTGTAATGGACTTGCGAAATAGATACGGATTCTAGCCCAAGGTTGATCTGGCAGTGGTCAACTCTTTGGTGTTAGACGTGAAGGATTCTTAGTTGCCTTCTGATATAATGCATAGCGGCCGTCGAATTCAGTTTTATCAGAATCCATTTTGGGCAAATAAGCGTATCTTCCGGCGATGATTTTCATACGTTCTATTCCTGGACGACCAGTGTGAAACTGCTCTGGAGATTTTCCGCTAGGAGACGGGGGGGATACCACTCGTTCTCAAAACATGAGGCATTGCTGATGACACAAAGGAATTCTCTTCTTCAGAACAGTTGTTTCAGGTCACCGGTAAATTATTTCTGTGACCATTTCATCTGGAAATAGTGCATGACTTCCCGTTGATATGGCCATTGTGGGATTCATTTTCGACATGAGCCGATGTGACAGGAAGCGTGTAGACTACGGAATCCACTAGGCGAACTGCATAATCGTTTGTGGATACTAATGCGATCACTGTCTTCTTTGGGTGTAGGACACTCACAGGCCTTAAAAGTGCGTCTGCATGTCCAAAATCTTCTGTTCGGCGGCATTCAATATCTAAGTTGGCCCAATAATGTTACCGCCTACCGCTGTAGTCTATCGACGGAATGAACTGAAATACCGCATTTTGACCCGAAAATCGAGAGGAGAGGCATGTGGCCAGTGAACATGATGAATTCCCGTCCATACAGCATCTCATGAAAATGTCTGACCGTGAGAACTAGAGTTAAATGTTTCCTTCTCTATCTATGAGTTGCGTTTTCCCGCCGAAGCGAGAGATCGAGATGTATGCATGACAGCCTTTTGTAAACCGTCTGGATATTCATGCAATAGGACGTCCCCAACACCAGCGGCGGAAGCATCTGTGGCCACGACGATTGGTAAACATGGGTCGTAATGTATTAACAGGAGGTCAGCCATGAGAGTGGGCTTGAGTCGTTCTATGGCAGTGTCACATTCTCTTGACCAAGACCATGCAGCAACCCTGCGTAAGAGACGATTCGCTGGTTTCTGTATATCATGTAGAGAAGGCAAGGACGCCGAATAGTAATTGATGAGACCAAGAAATGGTTGGATAGTCGCAAAATCTGTTGAAGTTGGGATCTGCTGTATGGTGCGAATGCTTTCGGAATAAGAACGTAGACTAGATGCATGAAAGATGAACCCTAAATATTTACTGACTTAAGAAATGATTGACATTTCTCTGTTCTAAGTCGACGGCCGTTGTCTAGGATTCTCTGTAGGACCAACCGTATTAGATTCGTTAATTCCATTGAACAGGTGGCAACTACTATAACGTTGTCGAGGTATGCAGCAACGTCTGGAATGCCTACTAGCATAGTATCCATAATCTGTTGAAAAATGACGAGGGCAGTTTTAATGCCGATTGACAGGCGATTGTACTGGAAAAGACCTCGATGGGTGTTGATGGTTAGTAGATCACGACATTATGGAGAGACTTCGACTTGTAAGTATGCGTCTGTTTATTGTGGTACATAAATCATTTGGAACAGGCAAGTGGTAACGATTAACGATGTTATATGCAAAAGTGAGACCTTCCAGCAAAAGGGGATCACATTACAACGGTACTGAAGGTGTCCTATGTGGGCGTATGCTGCCGCGGTTTTCGGTGTACAGTTGGAAATCTCATCAGTCACACTTACAAATACCCAGCTAAATAAACATTTAGACAACTAACGGCAATTCATCACAAAGGTTGAATTCAATTACAGGCACCTGTTAATCTTACAGAAGCACTTCGGTGGGACAAAGCGCATACCACCGATCAGTGGCTAACTGAATAGCCCTTATGTTTTCATATGGTAAACGATATCGTCCGCATACTTGAGGTCGCATTCTCTCATCTGATAACAGGTCTACGCCACTGTTTCGAGGATGTCATCCATGGGTTAGTTAAAGAGGAATATCGAAATCCGATAGTCCTGACTAACCGCACTATTGTTTTGGAACCATGAAGATAGGTGTTAACGTATTAGGCTTTTTAGCATGTTAAAAGTCCTCAAGGACAGCCCCTTTTCAAAGATTTCACAGTACAGTCTTATCCAACGAATAGAAAGCAGTCACGATATTGAGGAATACAACTATTGTTGGCCTGGAATTCGTATGATAGTGCTCAAGCATTTCGCGAAGGGTAAACAGATGATCAATATATTCATGTACGAAAATCTGTCTGCTCCTCACGGATCCGTTCCTCATGCGTTTTGCAAAAACCTGGGAAGTATGATTGCAGTCAACACTTTAGAAGCTAATTGTACAACGCTGAACACGATTGTTATCTCCCATATCACGCAGACCTTTTTCAAAGATGTCTACACAAACTGTTGCATTCCAGAGTGATGAAACAGTGTACCATACCTTTATTGATATGAAAAGTTTAAGTCCTACATGAAAGGCCTAAAACTACAGGAAATTATTTCAAGCTACTAATAATAAAAACTTTTAACATTTTGCAATTAACGAATACTTGTCCTAACTCTCTTTTTGTTATTTCAGAAAATACAAAATATACTCGCAGATGCTTGGGACAAAGAGGGTTCACCTTTTCGAGGAACTAACTATGACCCCACAAAAGTCAAACTGGATAAATCAAGTGTGCACATTGAAATATGATCTGGAAAAGATAAGGAATAGAAAACAATTGTGTCATAAGAATTACATAAGAATTAATGTGCCGAAACAGTCAAATTAATGTTTTGGTTTCACTAAATAAGAATAGCAGATGAATTTACTCTATAAATACTCTTATTTTCTCGATCTTGTAGCAAACTAAAATATGGCAGGATTCACAAACTCCGAAACCTACATTTAGTGTGTATTTGTAGGATTTCAACCATAAGATAACGATTTCAAGGTAGATTAAATCCACGCAAAGATAAGGCCACTAAAGGATATGTTCATGATTAGAGAAATCAAATCATAAATTAGTTACATGAGCGTACTGTAGATGTTAGTAGTTGCTTATGATAATACTTTACTGGTAGTGTCGTTACTGCTCAATCTTGAATATTGTTTTGTAGTCTAGACGTCATCTCTAGGGATGTGTATCTAGTATTTATAGTAGTTTTTTCGCACTGTATGTCATGTAGTCCATTCTTTCTGGCTAGTTCATTGTTGTACGTTTGGGATTCTGGCTCTTCATCACTGTACTGATTCTTGATCTGCAATCTTTTAGCTTTCTGTGTACGGTTCATGATGCGCTACGCTGATTTTCAAATCGGATTGTACCCAGCAACCACATCCACGTCCGTACACTCATCAGTAAAAGCTAAGGATGCTGCCGGGCTGCTCAAACCTTGGTAGATGAAGTGGGATTCGAGCCCATGACCCAATGGTTTGTGCCTACACCATGGAGCCACAGCTCTACTATGCTTATATTATCTTTGGAGATAGAACTGTTTGGTTGGACTCTGATCCTCCTTCCAAATGAGGTTGAGTATTCTCATATTCCTAGTTTTTGATGAGTTTTCATTATTTGAATTCTGAAGTTAGGCTTTTGAATTGATTTAGTTCGTCACACTAAAACTGCTGGATAAACGTTAGTTTTTTTCTCAAAGATCTGAATAACTAAGCCTACAACGATAGCATTGTCAGGCTACTCAATCCAACACAATTGTTGCTGTAAATCAACTTAAGACCAGTCGTTGGGGTGTAATGGTCCACACATCATATCAGCACATCGAATGCACTAAGACAAAAGGCGAAGAAATGGATAAGAAGCGGCCAAAAATGGTAAAAACTTTTCAGAAGCGAGGAGTAAAGATTGAGAAAATACCTTATTCAATACGACGATTGAGCTGAAGATAGTGTTTAGATACGTATGCACCAGTAAGATCGATTCTGAGCCATTCCACCTAAAGTCTCCAACCTCTAGTTTTTGTTATCATCTCAGCTCCAACTGGAAAGTCTACACTACCCTACACGGTTCAGACTAACTGTCGAAGACTTCAGGGACTGGTGGCATTCCTGATCGCCTCTAACCTTTTTACTGTCAACATTGTGCGATGAGGCAAAGGGTGACCAGGGGTGTGCCACACATATTCCAGCCATCTCAGTCGGTGAAGGTTCACAACCGCACTAACTGACTTTCCCTAAAACTCTACACCTGACATCTACGTAACTGACGTGGTGACGCACAACGTGGCCTATGCTAGGAAGGCAACGGTTGTCAAACAACTTCAGCCTCTTCAGAGCCTATACCTTTGATAGCCATATTTCATAAACACAGTAGAACAAAGCGAACTGCAGCACAGTATCGCTCAACCCTTAATAGATAATCGGATATCACGGTGACACCATAAATGGGACTTTTGTATATGTGCAGAGGTTTCGTCAGCCAATGACTCACCGGAGCAGATTCAATCTCCCAGTTAAGTGAGGTGGTCAACACGCTCAACTACTTCACTCTCTATTGCTAAACAAGGCGGTGCTGAAGGTCAGTCCTGGCGGCAGCAGTTTACATTTGTATGGCGAGAAACGCATCCCAATAATTCTCAAATTGCCCCTTAAGCTATCCAGAAAACTGCATCTAGCCAGCGTCTTCCCCCAACAGGACTGTCATTTATGTACTCTTTATCTGCTAAGGATTCTTCTATAAGTAGATCAATCCTTGATAAGTCAGACGATGAGGCAGAGACTTCCATGACGACGTCTGTAGCGAAGGTTGGATGAGAATTGAGTGGATATCCATGTTCGACACCACTTGACGTACACAACTCACCACAAACTCAAACATGCAAATGGGTGTTCAAGCACACAGCATTCAAGAAAAGGAAGTACTTACTCTTTTAAGTGAGATACTACCATAAGACTTCTCGACCGACAGACCTGAATGTGGCCTTCAGTCCGAGAAATATAGCGAGCGGCGGTACGTCTGCCTGTGTTCCAGAATATGGCGGAGAGTGAATATATGGTCAATGCACCCAGAGTCAGGTCTGAAACCTGCTTCGTTTTACTCGGCTTTTCTTATTGAGCTTCACCTAGACGTCTGTAAGTTGTAAAATCTTAGACCCTGTTTAATTCAGACTGCAATGTTCTACCCATCTTTCCAGAGCCGTCTTTGCTGTGAGTCACCCTTACATTTTCCACCTTTTTAAGCTTCGCTACCCGTAACACTTCATAGACTTTTCTCAATTTACGTTGGAGTTACTTTCGCTCTTCGCTGTGCTTTGATCATGCAAAATACGTGTAATAAATAATTCAGAAGCAGTTGACTGACTGCCGAAATCAACGTAGAACCTCACACACATGTGCATTGGGTCAAGCTGCAACACTTCATCGTAATACACACGGATAGAAAGAAATTATATCAGAGTACGAAAAGTTATGTGACACATCAAACTATCTGAAATACAGGTTGATGTACAGATTCAACCTTTAGCAGATAATCAGAAACGGAAACATCTGCACCACTGTGATCGACTTCGAGACAAGTAACCGACAGTTGTAAACCACTGACCCCTTAGTCACAACCATTGCAAACATGCAGACTACAAGCAAGGAAAATCGCCAACCACAAGAAAAAGTCCCCACTGCTTCAAAAAAAATATTAGGTCCAATCGAACAATCCAAAATAATGAATCCTTAGAACACGACGTACAAAAACGCAGAAAACTACAAAAAAAAAAAGAAATATCACACAAATATCCATCCAGAGAAAATCCAAAGACGACTAAGCATTAGTACCCTTCACCTGACCTCAACATTGGTGACATGGCGATTCCACCAAACGCGAGCAAGACTACGAAGACACCTATGATAAGAATGTTGTAACTGCTTGATGTCTTCTGCTTTCAACGGTCATGTCTGACAGCCGTATAACAGGACAGAATGGACTGTAGCGCCGTATACTCGTCCTTTCATAGATAGTTGGATATCTGGCCAGTCGGCGCCAGAGGTGACGTGAGCTGGCAAATGGTAAACGGGCCTTCTGTATCCGAGCTGAGATTTCGTGAGCAACCAGCCTGTTCGGGTTGATGCAACTCCCCAAGTAAGTGAATTGGTTGACATGTGCCACCACTTCACTCGTCATCGTTAAACTCGAAGTGCTTGGAGGAGACCAGTCCTGGAGCATCATGTTACATTTGACAGGTGCTAAACATGTTCAGATTTCTGCTCAACATGACCAGAAGACCCTGCGCTTTGTCAGCATCTTCACCTAGAAGGACAATATCGTCTACAAACTGCAAGTCGAGCAGACGGTCTCCAGGGAGTAGATCAATTCCTGTGAAGTCATACATACCTAAAGTTATGTCCATTAGTAGGTCTATGACGAAACTGAATAGGAACCTACTAGCCCAACGGGATAAACACGACTATTGGTAGGGATCCATGCAAGGAGTGCAAATTCGGCTCAAGAGTTTAGTTCGACAGTGACACCAACGACGCCAGTTGTCGATGCTGCAGGGTCCTGGGATAAGCGAACATGAAACATACTTTTCGAGCTGACAGACAGAGAACTAATTCGAAACACTTCACTGGGATTTTGTATGCGGGTTTCTGAGATGGAGCATACATTTATGGGGGAGAGGGGGCTTCCCAGAGTCCAAGTCAAACCTGCCTGTTTTCCGATCTGCATCAAGGTGCAAACGTTGAAGGTGGAGAGCTCAAATGGAAGGGGTGATTTTAGGATAGCTGTTAGATGTTGCGCTGGAAGACAGCCTAGTGGGGGCAACTGTTTAGCGACTAAAAACGCTACAGATAGACCAGAAGTCTAAGCAATGGAGAGCAGCTAAGTGAAGCGAAAATGGTAGTGATAAAAAATACAGTCCACAAGTAAAAACAACAAAAACAATATAATAGCAATAAATTTAGTAATCGGTTAATAAGCCTGTGGTGCGAAGAGCTTGAGTTTTCGCAGAAAGGTTGGTTAGTAGCTTCGAAATCTTCATTTTATTTTGTAAATTCACATCTTATGTGAGGGGTGGGATACTGCCCGGGTGCCCAGACCGGAGCGGGTGGTTGTCTTGAGGGACTTCAAGTCTAATCCACAAGGTAGTGGAACAACATCAGGAGCTGTATTCTAATGGTTGTCGGCGACCAATATAGGTTTATACGTAAACACAGCGCACATTCATACCCTGAGATGCTAAAGTTCTAGCTAGTGAATCATGTAGACTGATTTGTTGAAGGGTGCAAACATTGAAGGCCTCAATGTGTACTTTGGTGCGCAGATTCAGGAGACCAATGATGCCGTTGTATGAGCTCAGATCGTTGTAGGGTGTAGGATTATTGATCAAGCGATGAGGAAGATTAGAAGGTAAGGATACGGAAGGTAGATAGCGGTCTGAGGGAACTTGAGTACTGACAGAGTTGTGAGGGCGGTTAACAAGTCATAGCTGTTCACACCGTGGACGATAAGGTTATCTTGAGGCACCTGAAAAAGGAAGGTTATTGTATGACCGCAGAGCCTAAAAGACGTCTGCTTGTATGCTCAAGATTCCAACGTTTTTTTTGGATCTGACCAAGAACCGATATTGCCTGTACCCCTGTACACCGCAGGATGGAGAGTGATATTTTTAGGGTCAGCTTTCTAGTCTCGTTTTCCATAGAATAGCCAGTGTCGTGGCCCTTGTGGTCAACCGCAGGAAATACCTGACTGTCGTCATAGCTCTTTACAGTCAACAGTGCGACTTCACTCCTGAAGCCCGATCACAGCGTAGCAATTTACGCTAAAAACAATAACTAGTTATCTTACTATCACTGAACTGACCCTTCTGGTAAAGCAAGATCTCAAGAGAAAAACGTTCTACTAGGCCACTGTGATATTTTAACCAACAAACATGTCAAGGTAGCAACTATCAATCGGGTAATGAACCATAACTATTGTTTGAGGGCAATGACATCTGACAACCCAAAACTACATAGCTGGAGGGACATTCGAACGTATGATCCACTGGTTGAAAGTCAACTGCCACATCTTTCAGTCAGATAATAAAACAATAGATGAATGAATGGTTTTGCTAGGAGAACACCAAAATTGAAACGTACTACTAGTCAACTACATGTGTTTTTGTGGAGAAGGCGATGAGCTACACTTATCGCGTGCGGGTTAATCATCAATCATCAAAATCAACATAGGACTAGGCATCACTGTCTAACGGTCTGAGTTGCAACAACTCATATCAGTACATCAAGTAAGAAGGCAGTGAAGTGGAAGATGAAGATTTAGTCAGAAGAGATATAAAGTACGAGGAAAAAGAGGGGCAGAATGACAAAATGGTGAGATTCGGTATAGCGTTAAGACAAGGATAGTGTGTGTATACATCTGCGCCACTGACATCGGTTCTGAGCCATATCCCCTAGAGTCTCCAGGCACTGGTTCCTCCTGTCCCGCGGACCCCAACCACCTTGTCTGCATCACCCTACATGGCTCAAACCAACAGTCAAAGACTTCATACATTGGTGCCATGTTTTGGTCTGGCCACCTCGGGCCTTTTCCCAACCTGGACCTACTTCAGCCAAGATTGTGTGACGAGGCAATCGGCGACTAGGCATACGCAACACATGTCCCGACCATCTGAGTCGATGAAGGTTCACAACCATGTCAACTGACATACCTTTACTCCCTAAAACTCTATACCTGACTTCTGCATTACTCACGTGGTGACACCACAGAATACGACCTATACTACGAAGGCAACGGTGGTCAGACACTTGAAGCCCTCTCATATCTTCCGCTTTCAATGGCCACGTTTCACAGCCGTACAGTGGAACAGAGCGGACTGCTGTGCAGCACACGCGACCCTCAGTAGACAAACGTATATCACGGTGGCGCCATAGGTGGTGTAAGTTGGCAAAAGCCAATCGAGTCTTTCGTATCCGCGCAGAGATTTCCTGGCCACTTAGCCACCAGGGCTTCACTTCCCAGGTAAGTGAAATGGTCGACCCACTCTTTATTGTTAGCCGAGGCTTCGTTGAAGACCAATCCTGAAGTAATAATTCGCAGTTGGGTGGTGAGAAACGCACTCCAAACATTCTCAAATCCCCACTCAGTGTCCAGAAGACTCTGCATCTTGTCAGCATCTCCACTTAACAGGACTATGTCATCTGCATATTCTAGGTCTAAAGAAATTCCTCTTACGATTACGTCAGGTGACGAGAGGGAGACCTCCATAAGAATATCTATGATGAAATTGAATAGGAATGGAGACAGTGGGCATCCTTGACGGACACCACTCGATGAGCACAGCTCCCTGGAAATCTCACCATAGGCTCTAACATGCTCACAAGTGTTCGAGTAGAGAGCTTTCAATAAGGTGATGTACTTACTCGGCATGCCTTTCAGTGATAGACATTGCCATGAGACTTCTCGACCAACGGAGTCAAATGCCGCCTTCAAGTCGAGAAATACAGCTATTGTCGGGCGTTGGCCAGCCTGTCTGTGTTCTAGAAACTGGAGCAGTGTGAATATTTGGTCGACACACTCGCGGCCGGATCTAAAACCTGCCTGGTTTCCTCGGGCTTGCTGTTCCCGAGCTCCACTCAGGTGTCGAAAAATTATAGAACCTAGGATCTTAGACACTATGTTCGTCAGGCTGATTCCCCTATGGTTACCACAAGAGGACTTCTCACCTTTCTTTATGTCTGAAATTTGTGCTGGCTAAAAATAGGTGGTTATCTGAGCACACTTGTAGTAGGCGATCACCGTTATCTGATCATCCAACCGAAATTCTGACAGTGACACCTAAGTGCCTTTCTGCCTCACTCAGCCTACCCACCTGTGCGTTGAAGTCACCTGCAACAACCACCACGTCTGATCATTTGGCTTTCAAAAGGAGGCTAGACCGTTTACGGTAGAACTCGTCCTTCACTTCATCCGAACTAAAGTCAGTGGGTGCGTAAGCAGAGATTACAAAAAGACAACGGCGAGTCTCACTGTTCCTTTTAGTTCTCACCGTGCCGTTCAACCGGACAGTGAAGAGGCGACTATCGACTGGGATCCAGTCTAGTGGTGAGCTTTCTGCTCTAGTACTTAATGCTATGCCTACACCTGCAAGACCGCAAGAGCTAGTCATCGAATCTCCAGAAACTCGAAGAGTGAATTTTACGGATTCACCAGATTGATCAGGAGAGGTCAGGTGAATAACCGCACTTGGGTCCTGTATGCATGTCTCACAAGCACAGCACACATCCAAGGCCTGAATGGCTAGTCTTTGCCAACGAAGCCTGTCGACCGATTTGACGGAGGGTGCGGATATTGAAGACTCTGATATGTAATCTATAGCGTAGTTTAGGGAGACCAGGGATGCTGTTCTGTGGATTCAGATTGTTGTCGAAGGCTGCAGAGCTAGGAGAAATTGAAGATGATGTAGTGTCGTTAGTTGAGAGATGTGAAGGAAGATTAGAAGGTAATGATGAGTGAGGTGGATAGCAGTCTGAGGAAACTTGAGTGCTGACAGAGTTGTGAGGGCAGTTGACACTTCCCGGCTGCCTACACTGTGGAAGGCTATTTCTTCTTAAGGCACCTGAAAGGGATTTGTGTGGCCGTAGAGCCCAATGGACATCTGCTTGAGGCCTGTCACGCAGCCCTTTGCGTATGATTATTTTGAACTTTTGTATTTTCGGGGCTGGATGGTCGAAAGGAAACAACAAATGAACCAACACCGCCGGCCCGGCAGACCGTGGGGGATGGTGGAGTGTGTTATTTCCGGGGCCAGCCTCTTCTAACCCCCCACCCCTTCCACTAAGAAGGCAGCATCAGCATGCCACTGCTGGTCATCCAAGGGAAACACCTCACTGTTATCACATGTCATCGAGCTAACAGACCCCCACCATATCGTAGCGTTCCATTCAGCGTAATTCGTTGGGTCATTGTGATGTGCAAGCGCAACAACCTCGTCAAGGTAGCAGTTGAGATCCGCTGAACCTTTCTAACCACTTTCTGAGAGTCAGCTACGGTCTTAAGACTGTTTTCACGGCAAACTGAAGACGATGCCAGGCTTTTTCTGGACGAGTTATGCTGTTCCATCCCAATAACTTTCGAACCAGCGTCTATCTGAAAGCTGCCTTTGTATTCTAATCATCAGATTGCATTCACAGTGGTCATGTTGCTGTAGTTTCTCTACGTCTTTCCGGGCGCAGACATACGCGTGCTTATTCCAACGCTTGGTCTCTGTCCAAACATGTGCTGCAGAAGGAGCAACAGTCTTCCACTGACCCTCTGTTTGTGGCCAACGTTGAGTTGAGATCAATGGACGACACGTCAGACAAGTCTCTCTCTCTGAAGTTCACAGTGGTCCGAAACAGATGATCAGTTGAGCACACTTGCAACAGGCAATCACTAATATCCGTTCGTTCGGTCGCTGGGAACACTAAGGAATCTACCAAAATCACTATGTGAGGTAAAACTGATTTCGAAGGCTTTGCTCAAGGAAAGTACAAGCTCAGAGAAATTTAAGTATTGGCACCCGCAGTGTAACTACGTATCACAATGTCAAATTCAGAAAACGATTCGATGTCGAGAAGAAAGGACTCCCATTATTCTGTCAGTAGTGATTGCTGTCTTTCAGTCACCCCTTAAGATCCTCTGGTATCTAAAAGTACCACCAGACTGGAAGTGTGGCTCCCTAGATCTCTAAAACCCCACCCCCACCAGCGTTCTCAGGACAAGCAGTTGTTTATACGAGTTCCTGACTGGGGAGTCTTAAAATTATCAACATGAACAAATCTAAGATATATATGTAAAGCAATTAAAGTATATTATTACTTTTTAATAGATGAACTTGGCAGCTAGTACACAAAACATTCACAAATGTTATGATCATCATGAGATATTGTATAAATGAAATTGGATATCAAGATTGTTTAGGATAAGCTGAACACGTGATAACTTGTCATATTAATTTACTTATTTCCATCTCGTAATAGATCCGGTGTAAGAAAAGTACCTGTGGAGTGGGATGTTTCCGTAGCTTGGGCGTTTAAACGTGCTTTCGGCTTTTTTGGGTGTCTTGATCTGCTTTTGGTTTTGCACAGAGGACATATTGGCGCATTTCGATGAATCAGCTGCTTGCATGCTAGACACATCTTCATTGGTGGGCATTGTGCAATCAGCTGGATTCACTTGAATGGAGTAATGAGTGACTGAATTCTAAGCTAACTGGTTTTATCTGGTTATGCAAGACTTTTGATGCAGATTTCGAACTAACATGATCTAGACTACAACCAGATAAACTTGTATGATCGCAAAAGTCTTGCAGTTGTTCATTGTTGAAACAAGTCGGGTTACGACTGCGCATACCATGTTCACATTTGTTTTTATCATCGTTGTAGAAGGAATCATCGTCACGCTTTTTATCTTCTGTTAAGAAAGTAAAATATTAATTGATTAGATACAAAAATACTACCAACCTCAGTGAACCCTATTTTGTTTTGCGTTTCCGTTTGATATATGTTCTAGATCAAATGCCACTTTGCAACTAAAACTACTCAGACACTAGGCTATCTGGTATATAAGTGGGACTCACAGACTGAGGTGAAATGTACTTCTAAATCAGATTTGTCTATTTTGTATAGGATGCAATAATACAGTATTGTAAGATGAAAATATTGTAGGTTAGATACTATTGTCGATAGAATACCAACAAATTCTAATAGATATTGTTTCACATAACCCTCATGAATGCAGGTTAACTTTTTGAGTAATTCGGCTAGGAAATGTCTAAAGAGGCGAAGAACCGAATTAGGAAACTGCCCTGTGTTAACGGGACACCGATTATCTACGGCTAATTCAGAAATGTGTACGGGTACACATGAAGAGCAGAAGTGATATGATTATTAACTGGGGATAACAATGAGTTTCATGGAGTGGACTGCGCTGATGCAGTCACACCAACTGGTTCTACTCACTCAGGATTGTGATTCAGAAAAGCACCAAAAAATCTACTGGTTGCTGGAACTTTTAACACTTTTTTAGGATAAAAAAACTCATCAGGGTGATTTAAATAGTCTGATGATCAGCAAGTCAGTTTGAAAGTAAATGATTTTACCAGCACTACAATAATGCATGCTAATGGATATTAGGTTTTCTGGAAAAATAATAATAGGAGATAACATACTACGACGAAAGAGCAATCCAGGTTCTCAGTAGCTCTCCAATTGATGTCAGTTTGTAATGAAAACTATCCTGGAATCTATCTATTTTCATAAACCACTTAATGAATTTACATTTCTACACAGTGTAGTTATCCGCTTTCAGTCTTGCTACTACTCAACAGACGTTTCCGGCGTGGTAGAACCTCAAGTAACAATCGTCTCAGCCAACATAGATCGTTAGGTCATGTCAATGGGCGAACTCAACGACTATAACAAAGTAGCAGCTGTCAGAAGAGATTAAATATTTGTATATTTTAATAAAATGAACTGACAAAACAATCGGTCTATTTATAGGTGTCTCTAAACTGTTAACTTTGCAAAAATGAATAGAATCGTGATGTAAATACGCTAAAATTAAAAAATAAAGTTGAGAACAGTTACCAGTTCTAGCAGATTTTGTCTCCTTCGTCAATGACGCGAAATTGTCAGTCACAGAGATCTCATTAGAAAAACTTGGTGATTCTTGATTGCTGCAGCAATGCAATTTCGAAGCCTGAACTTCGTTAGAACCTTTATTACTCAGCTTTATGTCCGATTTTTGCAACATCTCAAACTTGGTGTGATTTGTCTTCTCATCCTGTTTCACTTTCGGTTGCGTTTCACGCTCATTGTTTGGTACAGACTGCTCATAACCCAAGTGACTTTCACATGAGTCAATGCTTGACTCTTGTATTCCGTTAGCAGTAGTTTCAGTAAGACCACTTGAAAGCCTAGATTTATGAATAGCAAAGAAAGACTACCTAAGTAACAAAGTACACAAGCCTGAAAGTATGGTTACAGGGGTTAAACTTTAGAAATTATCTTGTGGTATTGTATGCAATACATCCGCTACTACTTACACTCGACAAGCACACTTCTTATCGACTGCACGCATAAAAGTTGATAGTTATACCCTAAGGTCAGAGAAAAACTTGTTGACTGTAAACTAGCTCTTTCTTTTATCACCTCAAAAGCAAAAGGGAACGGTGATTGTGTAAAGTATCAAATTACTTTCAGCGAAAATATGATCATTTTTAGGATGTTCAAGCTGGTACTACCAACTGCTTATCATTGTGAGCACTACTAATGTCACTTAATAACTTACTGTGGGGTTTAGTTTAGTCAAAAGCTTAGTTGATGAGTCAATGTAGTAAGGTAGTTTTTTCCGTACAAACTGACTACGTGGTCATCATTGAGGTGGTATTACAGTCCAACCTTTTGGGTTTGCCAGTCGCCTGATGGTTATTTGATTTGATTTCTTTTTTCTAACTTACAGATGTAGGCAAAAAGTTCCGGGTTGAGCCCTTCTTCACTCATTTTGGCCTGGACAACCAGGTAGAATACAAGCCTTAAGGAAATATTTTTAGCTCATAAATCAATACATAAATATGTACCACCTTGGGTATGAATTATTATTTTCACCTTCAAAGAAGTGTATCTGAGACCATTCTCAGAAACTTTACACACAATAAAACAACTCTTTGTAATGCAGTGTTGGATAACCAGTCCGCTAAGACAGTATGCCTGAATGTCTGAACTACGTACTAAGATGGTTTAGTTTGAAAAGTTGTGATCATACGAGTAGTCATACCACCTGACACAAGTCAGTGTTGTGATATCTAAAACGAACAATAACCGTAATACTGGCTGGAATATGAATTCTATGACTCAGGATTCACGATTGGTCCACTGCAAAACAAATGCTTCAAGGTTTTACCGCCTAAAAATATTAAAATATACGATAGTTACTTAAATAAACAATTCAGTAATTACCTGTTTTGTAGCCACTACACTGGTGCTAGTTAGGCTTGACTATCTAGACGTGCAAGCTCTCTTTACATTACCAGACAAATATTTGGCTTCTTAATCTCAAAACCATATTGAGCTATTATTGGTTCCTTGACCATGACCTTGACTATGTATAGCATCGAATAGTATGACAGGTTGGAAATAACAACTGGAATACATGTAATAGACGTTTGGTTGGTACTATGAACAAATCAATGCTATAAAACTAGGGTTTCTCATCGCATGTTTATTCCCATAACGCATATCCTTTAGATCATTCCGTATGGCAATAATTCCTGTAAAGAATCTATGAACTGACAAATGAGTGATTATTCTATGAACAGTCTACCTCTATCAGGCAGCATTATTAAATGAGATATAAATGATCTCGATAAGTATTGAAGAAAACTGGTCATTCGCTTTATCATTACAAACGACAAATAATACCAGTGGCGTGGTTTAATATCGACTACAGTGTTACAAATCTGTTCACTAGAACTTATGTTTAACATGTTAGACATTTTACTGTGATTTTTTCCTTAGCTTGTCTAATATAATTTGGAAATTTAAAAACCGTTCTACTTCCGTTCACCCTCTTTCTATGCTGCTATAAATCGGAGAAACTTGGACTGATGCACTAGCATACAGTTTTAGGAAAACCAGTTAGCCTAGGATTTAGGCAGAACCCTCCATACTAATGCAGCGAGTCACTACAGATTTCCTTTTATCAAAACTACTCCTTTCACCATTAAATCAGAGTTGCTGGGAAAGAACAACACACACCACTTGGTGTTAGACAAAGGTGTCGACAGAATCCAGTATCATCAGAAAGTTGTGAGTAGGCCCAACATACATTCCTCGCTGTAAAATGTGAGTTCACGCTTCAAGACTGGTCTGCACCAACTCCTCACTGAATAATACGGAATGAAGTTATGGAATGCGTCGACCACAACCACTTACTTGCGGAGTTGCATCAGGTCGAATGGACTGTTGACGAGACCTCAGTTTTGATACAAAAATCCTGTCTGGCTTTTGTCAACGCTAACCGTCTTTGGGACCGACGAAATATCCAACTACCTACCTATCAGAAGATGAATATACTGTGCTCCGGTCCACTTTGTCCCATAGTATGGGTGTTGGAAGTGGAAGTATGGGGGAATCACCATGTGAGCAATGTTGGGGTTGGGCATAAAGTAGAAGGCTAGCAAACCAAATCAGTTGATAAGGTTGTGAACCTTTCACTGATTGAGGTGGGTGGAACATTTGTTGTGCGTGGCGAGCCACAACTTACAACGAAAGTACAGATGAACACACTTTTTATCAACTACATCTTCGACTTCTTCATAAACTCATCTGCCTATACTCTTTTCTTTCATATACTTGTCAACTTTTATGTAATTTGCTGTGATGTGTATGCTTTTATAACAGTTTCTTTGATAATCTGACGGTTTGTCTGCACAGACTTCAAATAAAATTTGAAATTCTTAGCTCAGCAGTCTAACCAAGTACATCGTCTTTCAGATGCGAATGTTTATCACGTTTAACTACTAGGAATTCTACACCGTCTGCAACTTTTTTTTCAGCTATGTGGTGCATGACAATCAATCAAGTTAATAGAACAGCAAATATGGTGTCTCCCTAAGTCACGTTCCAAACTACAATTGAGGTTTATAATGTCTCCACCTTTCTTGAAGCCAGAAAAAGCTCCTAAAGCTGGAACACTTTTATATCAAGGCCGTGAACATGTGCTGTGATTGTGAGACGCGTAGGGAGAAAAAAATCAAAGTATGTCTATTCACTTGACTTTACTGGATCAATGAGAAAAATTCATCTAACTACACCCATTGACTAATGGTTAATGATACTACTTGGTTACCAGAATCTCAACAGATGGAGTGGAGTTCAAACCCGCGACCCCATTGGTTGGCAGCTTAGCAGCATAAAACAATGAGTCAGCTTCAACAGCTCTTCGACTATTTTCCACAGTTCTGTAGACGTAGGAGAAGCGTTAAGGCCAAGAGCAGAAAGCGCACTGCCTGACTGGACCCCGGTTGACAGCCACCTGTATGCTGTTCATTGGAATACTGGACCAGACAGTTTTTAAAACTGGTCATTGTCGCATAAATTAAATACTGAAACAAAGACATACTTATTGTTTTTGTGACCTGAAGACATCAATTGACTCTAATGGTCGGACAGTTTTATCCTAGTGCTTTTCATTCGAGGGGGTACTTGGTGAGTACCTCTCCTAAATGAAGACTTTATAATACAACACACGTGTTCGTAGTAGAGTACGATGAGCTGTTGAGTGAAATGTTTATGTCAGGTGGTGTCAGTTTAGGAAGTCTCATTCTCTTATTTTCTAGACTTTGTGAAAAAAGAGCCCATGTAGACCTCCATTTCATCGCTTGACTCTACACAGATTGATCTCTGCAAATAAAATAGTTCTGTTAGGTGAATACAGCGAAAAAATGTAGTTTTCTGGACGATGTAAAAATGTTCAGAATCAGTCTCTCATTTACGAATGCGAACTGTTGCTTCTGGACTGGTTTACGTTGACACTAGCGAGTGGAGTGGTCAGGCGAGTTGACCACTTGACTTTCCTTGAGAGTCTTACCAGACACAAGGCTTGGCCGGTAACTAAAGAAATTGCAGCACGGATACAAAAAGCTCGATTAGCTTCTGAAACTTTACGCCACCGATGGCATGGGGAGGCTTCTGAATGCCTAATAAGGGTCGAGTGTACGAGACATGAGTTTGCTCTGTCATGTCTGTATGACATACAACCGTTATTAAAGTGGGACTGTATGGAAAGGTTTTATTCATTTGATCACTGCTACCTGCATAGCACAACGCATGTGTGCAGTAGGGTTTTCAATCCAAAGTAACTTTTCGAAATGTTTCTACAAATGTTTTACGTACCAATATCAAATTTCTATTGAAACCGAGTTAAATCATTTGTATTGGGTTTTGACTTACATTAATCACTATAGTGTGGTCCTGTCTCGGGAATGGTAATCGTTTGTGACATCTTCATATATAAACACGGATATGAAGTGAGTTTGAACAGAATGGAATAATTCCTATATCGTGATCTGTTCCGATCAACAGACGCCAATAGTGCGCTCGATAATAACGAGATCATAAGAAAATGCCATTAGATTTCAAATGTTACACTTATTTGGTTGTGCAACATCCAAACCAAAACAATAACACTGGTTTTAAGGAAAGTGAAATATTTGTGGGAGGGTTTGAATAAAGCTTCACAGAGCAGACAACATTGGAGCCACTATGTGAGCAATAAGGCACTTTGATGTCAATATGGACGACACAAGATCTCAGGTTGTTTGACGAGGTACATTTTTCAGAAAACATATTTATGAAGTATAACTAGGATTCGCAACTCGTAATAAGCACAAGTGGGACTCTTGGATTCGTTCAAGAAGAACAGGACTTTTACTGTTTTATTCAGAAATCCATGCGGAGAATTGAATAAGGTAGCCAATACGACAGCTATATAAATAATAACACGAAATACACAGTAACATATACAAGGATAGCGAATAAGATGGCTATGATGCATAAAAGTACTATGTGAACTCCATTTGACCCTCATTCAAAAAAAATAAGTGATTGATACAACTAGTACGTATTGAGTAATTATTGCGAACATGATTCAGGCTTTTGACTCGGTCTGTCCAACAACGACAGGTAACCTGGTATGACGGATGAGCTAACTTACTGACTAAAGCAAAATAGACAGAGTATTAACGATAAGACTAAAATAGCGAATTATTTGCGGAAATAAATATACATTTAAATGTGCAGTCGCATACACACACACATGTTTACATATATGTCTTACTTGTGACTCCATAGCACTTCTTGAGGAAGCTTGTATTGTTCCTGGAGAGGTAATAATTGCAAGTCTTTTCTGTGCTCATTAATATTGCTTAAAAGCTGGTTATATTCACCATACAGCTTTTGAATACAAAAAACATTCTTGTCACGATCCGACCAAGCTTGACGCATTATCGTTCCCAGCTGTAAAGTAGTTTTAGCGAAACATTCAAGTTCGAGGTCAATATAAAAATTTTCCGTCAGTAGGTACTAAGTAACTAAAGAAATCGCTGATTATGGTTTATTTAATGAACAGATTCTCAACAAAACTAACTTCAAATCCGAATAATACGCTGAGGTGAGTGCCGAAGCCTTTACAAAGTTCCAGATTACTTCCTCAAGATTATGTTCACTGATCACTTTGCTATTTTACTTTAATACCCATATCCTTTTAGATATTCAACAACCCAGTACATCAAATACAGGTGCAACAGAGTGAGCCAAAAAGATAATATATGGTGAAAAGACAATGAAGATAACTCGTTGAAAAGTTGTATATTTAATTATCAGTAATTCATTCTTCTGTCTATAAGATACCAGTTAGCAGTATAATTATCGATTGTGTAATGTTGCAACTAGGATCGACAGTAAAACTCTGAAAACGTTTAAACAATCTGAACTCGCATACAACTATAAGGATGAGTAATTATCACATTACGACTGAAACCACATACATTGAATCAGGGCACAAATGACAGTAAGCTTATTTTATACTATCTAGTTGTCTAGGTGATGAAATAGTGACTCTGAGCTTGAGTTAATGGTTGATATAAGAATGCAAATGGCAATCAGCTCCAACATGTAAATACCATTCACTGTGGAAAACGATCATATATATATAATAAATTTGAATATTCTACTATCAATACGATACCGATATTCATGCATACAAGTAAAGAGAATAAAGTAGTGCTGCGTAATTCTAAGTAGTCATGCATATGTATTGCAGTTTGGCACATCGAAGACTATTATTGTTTCTTTCACAATAAGCCTCGTTGGATTCATTAGCATTGACTGGGGTTATATTCATGTGAGAACTTACTACGTTAACTAACAGGAAAGCTTGAATTTATTTCGACAAAACACAAGTTTGAACTAAAACATACTAAAATGTGGAAGGAAAAATCAAGCAGGTTGAATTCGAACCCATCACAAGCAAATCTTAATATCGAAGTAAAAATGATGTTATTTGAAATCCTAGTAATAAGTTTAAGAGGTGCTACGACCCACTAACATTTCTAAAACTCAGAAATTAATTAATAACTTCTTTGAGGTTACCTTAATCGTATATTAAATGATGACCTCCAAATCTTACGACCGGTAAAATAACCATGAAAATTCTGCTTGGCTGCTGACACATACTACAAATAAGTATCTCATATTCACAGCTGGTCTCAGGAACTTCGAAGTACGCTTGACAACCTGAAACGATACTGACAATTAGTATGACAGGTCAATTACTACAGGATATAAACAACCAGATGCTACCGCCTTTAATCATACTTTCAAGCATTCCGGGTATTCGCAAACAGTATCGGAGGTCATCACAAAACTAGCAATTTTTTTGTAACACCTGAAGTTCATAAGGTGGGATCATTAACCGACTGTAACAGTTTTTGAACAGGTGATAACCAGTTCTGAACAAAAATCTTATCTTTATGTGACAGAAATGGTTATTGCAGAAGCATATCTAGTTTTTTGTTACACTAGCAGTAGAGGAAATGAATAACCTAGTATCCTTCAGACAGAGCATGAAACCGGGCAACTGAAGTATCCCATATCAACTCACATTTTAAAGGAGTGTCTACGCAACATTTTTGAATGACAGGTCAATAGGTGTTACAGCTGTTGTAGCGGAAATTATTGAAAGGATTACAAAGAAAGTCATCGTGGCTTAAACAGGGAGTAAATTCGTACCATCTAGTACACAAAAAACTTTTCGCAGAAGTTTGTCTGAGTTAATAAGTCTCACAAAAAATATCGGGTAAACCGATTAATGATAAACGGTCTCTAGATGTCATCACAACGAAAGCTTCGAAAAGTTACAATTTGTGACCAGAATTCTTGAAGCACAAAGGTGGACAGCTGCTGAATATCACGGATAAGTTGGTGTATGGGAATCAGAGGTGGGTCTGATAGAATGGTTTAGATCGCTGATAATCCCCAATTTAAACGCAAGAAAATAAGTCCTAATGGGGCAGCTAAAGAGTTACAAATTCGACTGAAATCGTGTCTAAAAACCTGAGGTACACAGTTATCACACACCTAACTAGAGCTCGTAAGCAATAAACTTGGGAAAGCCAGGCAAGTTTCGGACCTCACTGACTGCTTGTCGACCACATTTTCATTCTTCGACAGGCTTAAGAGCAAGCACACCTGCCTATCCCACATCTCTTCACCCAAAGGTGGCATTCAAATCTGTAGACCCAGCAATGTGTCTGACTATGAACGTAGTACCGAGAAAATGTACTATGCTAACAAAACCATCTGTTCATGACTCTGCAGATGAAAAGTGATTATAAACAGTCACTATCTGAATTGAAGATAAAAGTATGGCAGTCAGGTGTGTTCACGATTTCCTACCTGTATTCTTGAAAACTTCAGGTGCCAAACTGCCAGGTTGTGGTGGTTTGCATCGTTTCAGGTGCGATGTAGACTCCGTAACTTCAAGGGGAGTTGGAGGACCGACATCTACGTCCCATTCAGGTTCCGGCTGACTGGATGTTGGACAACTGAACCGTTGCTGTCATCTCAGTCGACTAAGGTTCACAACCTCATCAATCGGATCGCCTGTCTTACCTAGTAACCTTCACCTGACCTCAACATTGGTGACATGGCGATTCCACCAAACGCGAGCAAGACTACGAAGACACCTATGATAAGAATGTTGTAACTGCTTGATGTCTTCTGCTTTCAACGGTCATGTCTGACAGCCGTATAACAGGACAGAATGGACTGTAGCGCCGTATACTCGTCCTTTCATAGATAGTTGGATATCTGGCCAGTCGGCGCCAGAGGTGACGTGAGCTGGCAAATGGTAAACGGGCCTTCTGTATCCGAGCTGAGATTTCGTGAGCAACCAGCCTGTTCGGGTTGATGCAACTCCCCAAGTAAGTGAATTGGTTGACATGTGCCACCACTTCACTCGTCATCGTTAAACTCGAAGTGCTTGGAGGAGACCAGTCCTGGAGCATCATGTTACATTTGACAGGTGCTAAACATGTTCAGATTTCTGCTCAACATGACCAGAAGACCCTGCGCTTTGTCAGCATCTTCACCTAGAAGGACAATATCGTCTACAAACTGCAAGTCGAGCAGACGGTCTCCAGGGAGTAGATCAATTCCTGTGAAGTCATACATACCTAAAGTTATGTCCATTAGTAGGTCTATGACGAAACTGAATAGGAACCTACTAGCCCAACGGGATAAACACGACTATTGGTAGGGATCCATGCAAGGAGTGCAAATTCGGCTCAAGAGTTTAGTTCGACAGTGACACCAACGACGCCAGTTGTCGATGCTGCAGGGTCCTGGGATAAGCGAACATGAAACATACTTTTCGAGCTGACAGACAGAGAACTAATTCGAAACACTTCACTGGGATTTTGTATGCGGGTTTCTGAGATGGAGCATACATTTATGGGGGAGAGGGGGCTTCCCAGAGTCCAAGTCAAACCTGCCTGTTTTCCGATCTGCATCAAGGTGCAAACGTTGAAGGTGGAGAGCTCAAATGGAAGGGGTGATTTTAGGATAGCTGTTAGATGTTGCGCTGGAAGACAGCCTAGTGGGGGCAACTGTTTAGCGACTAAAAACGCTACAGATAGACCAGAAGTCTAAGCAATGGAGAGCAGCTAAGTGAAGCGAAAATGGTAGTGATAAAAAATACAGTCCACAAGTAAAAACAACAAAAACAATATAATAGCAATAAATTTAGTAATCGGTTAATAAGCCTGTGGTGCGAAGAGCTTGAGTTTTCGCAGAAAGGTTGGTTAGTAGCTTCGAAATCTTCATTTTATTTTGTAAATTCACATCTTATGTGAGGGGTGGGATACTGCCCGGGTGCCCAGACCGGAGCGGGTGGTTGTCTTGAGGGACTTCAAGTCTAATCCACAAGGTAGTGGAACAACATCAGGAGCTGTATTCTAATGGTTGTCGGCGACCAATATAGGTTTATACGTAAACACAGCGCACATTCATACCCTGAGATGCTAAAGTTCTAGCTAGTGAATCATGTAGACTGATTTGTTGAAGGGTGCAAACATTGAAGGCCTCAATGTGTACTTTGGTGCGCAGATTCAGGAGACCAATGATGCCGTTGTATGAGCTCAGATCGTTGTAGGGTGTAGGATTATTGATCAAGCGATGAGGAAGATTAGAAGGTAAGGATACGGAAGGTAGATAGCGGTCTGAGGGAACTTGAGTACTGACAGAGTTGTGAGGGCGGTTAACAAGTCATAGCTGTTCACACCGTGGACGATAAGGTTATCTTGAGGCACCTGAAAAAGGAAGGTTATTGTATGACCGCAGAGCCTAAAAGACGTCTGCTTGTATGCTCAAGATTCCAACGTTTTTTTTGGATCTGACCAAGAACCGATATTGCCTGTACCCCTGTACACCGCAGGATGGAGAGTGATATTTTTAGGGTCAGCTTTCTAGTCTCGTTTTCCATAGAATAGCCAGTGTCGTGGCCCTTGTGGTCAACCGCAGGAAATACCTGACTGTCGTCATAGCTCTTTACAGTCAACAGTGCGACTTCACTCCTGAAGCCCGATCACAGCGTAGCAATTTACGCTAAAAACAATAACTAGTTATCTTACTATCACTGAACTGACCCTTCTGGTAAAGCAAGATCTCAAGAGAAAAACGTTCTACTAGGCCACTGTGATATTTTAACCAACAAACATGTCAAGGTAGCAACTATCAATCGGGTAATGAACCATAACTATTGTTTGAGGGCAATGACATCTGACAACCCAAAACTACATAGCTGGAGGGACATTCGAACGTATGATCCACTGGTTGAAAGTCAACTGCCACATCTTTCAGTCAGATAATAAAACAATAGATGAATGAATGGTTTTGCTAGGAGAACACCAAAATTGAAACGTACTACTAGTCAACTACATGTGTTTTTGTGGAGAAGGCGATGAGCTACACTTATCGCGTGCGGGTTAATCATCAATCATCAAAATCAACATAGGACTAGGCATCACTGTCTAACGGTCTGAGTTGCAACAACTCATATCAGTACATCAAGTAAGAAGGCAGTGAAGTGGAAGATGAAGATTTAGTCAGAAGAGATATAAAGTACGAGGAAAAAGAGGGGCAGAATGACAAAATGGTGAGATTCGGTATAGCGTTAAGACAAGGATAGTGTGTGTATACATCTGCGCCACTGACATCGGTTCTGAGCCATATCCCCTAGAGTCTCCAGGCACTGGTTCCTCCTGTCCCGCGGACCCCAACCACCTTGTCTGCATCACCCTACATGGCTCAAACCAACAGTCAAAGACTTCATACATTGGTGCCATGTTTTGGTCTGGCCACCTCGGGCCTTTTCCCAACCTGGACCTACTTCAGCCAAGATTGTGTGACGAGGCAATCGGCGACTAGGCATACGCAACACATGTCCCGACCATCTGAGTCGATGAAGGTTCACAACCATGTCAACTGACATACCTTTACTCCCTAAAACTCTATACCTGACTTCTGCATTACTCACGTGGTGACACCACAGAATACGACCTATACTACGAAGGCAACGGTGGTCAGACACTTGAAGCCCTCTCATATCTTCCGCTTTCAATGGCCACGTTTCACAGCCGTACAGTGGAACAGAGCGGACTGCTGTGCAGCACACGCGACCCTCAGTAGACAAACGTATATCACGGTGGCGCCATAGGTGGTGTAAGTTGGCAAAAGCCAATCGAGTCTTTCGTATCCGCGCAGAGATTTCCTTGGCCACTTAGCCACCAGGGCTTCACTTCCCAGGTAAGTGAAATGGTCGACCCACTCTTTATTGTTAGCCGAGGCTTCGTTGAAGACCAATCCTGAAGTAATAATTTGCAGTTGGGTGGTGAGAAACGCACTCCAAACATTCTCAAATCCCCACTCAGTGTCCAGAAGACTCTGCATCTTGTCAGCATCTCCACTTAACAGGACTATGTCATCTGCATATTCTAGGTCTAAAGAAATTCCTCTTACGATTACGTCAGGTGACGAGAGGGAGACCTCCATAAGAATATCTATGATGAAATTGAATAGGAATGGAGACAGTGGGCATCCTTGACGGACACCACTCGATGAGCACAGCTCCCTGGAAATCTCACCATAGGCTCTAACATGCTCACAAGTGTTCGAGTAGAGAGCTTTCAATAAGGTGATGTACTTACTCGGCATGCCTTTCAGTGATAGACATTGCCATGAGACTTCTCGACCAACGGAGTCAAATGCCGCCTTCAAGTCGAGAAATACAGCTATTGTCGGGCGTTGGCCAGCCTGTCTGTGTTCTAGAAACTGGAGCAGTGTGAATATTTGGTCGACACACTCGCGGCCGGATCTAAAACCTGCCTGGTTTCCTCGGGCTTGCTGTTCCCGAGCTCCACTCAGGTGTCGAAAAATTATAGAACCTAGGATCTTAGACACTATGTTCGTCAGGCTGATTCCCCTATGGTTACCACAAGAGGACTTCTCACCTTTCTTTATGTCTGAAATTTGTGCTGGCTAAAAATAGGTGGTTATCTGAGCACACTTGTAGTAGGCGATCACCGTTATCTGATCATCCAACCGAAATTCTGACAGTGACACCTAAGTGCCTTTCTGCCTCACTCAGCCTACCCACCTGTGCGTTGAAGTCACCTGCAACAACCACCACGTCTGATCATTTGGCTTTCAAAAGGAGGCTAGACCGTTTACGGTAGAACTCGTCCTTCACTTCATCCGAACTAAAGTCAGTGGGTGCGTAAGCAGAGATTACAAAAAGACAACGGCGAGTCTCACTGTTCCTTTTAGTTCTCACCGTGCCGTTCAACCGGACAGTGAAGAGGCGACTATCGACTGGGATCCAGTCTAGTGGTGAGCTTTCTGCTCTAGTACTTAATGCTATGCCTACACCTGCAAGACCGCAAGAGCTAGTCATCGAATCTCCAGAAACTCGAAGAGTGAATTTTACGGATTCACCAGATTGATCAGGAGAGGTCAGGTGAATAACCGCACTTGGGTCCTGTATGCATGTCTCACAAGCACAGCACACATCCAAGGCCTGAATGGCTAGTCTTTGCCAACGAAGCCTGTCGACCGATTTGACGGAGGGTGCGGATATTGAAGACTCTGATATGTAATCTATAGCGTAGTTTAGGGAGACCATGGATGCTGTTCTGTGGATTCAGATTGTTGTCGAAGGCTGCAGAGCTAGGAGAAATTGAAGATGATGTAGTGTCGTTAGTTGAGAGATGTGAAGGAAGATTAGAAGGCAATGATGAGTGAGGTGGATAGCAGTCTGAGGAAACTTGAGTGCTGACAGAGTTGTGAGGGCAGTTGACACTTCCCGGCTGCCTACACTGTGGAAGGCTATTTCTTCTTAAGGCACCTGAAAGGGATTTGTGTGGCCGTAGAGCCCAATGGACATCTGCTTGAGGCCTGTCACGCAGCCCTTTGCGTATGATTATTTTGAACTTTTGTATTTTCGGGGCCGGCCTCTTCTAACCCCCCACCCCTTCCACTAAGAAGGCAGCATCAGCATGCCACTGCTGGTCATCCAAGGGAAACACCTTACTGTTATCACACGCCATCGAGCTAACAGCCCTCAGACCCCCATCATAACGTAGTAATTTACACCACAACGGTAACTGGTATCCAGCAGACCTTTCTGGCAGGATAAGACCTCGAGGGGACAAGTGTTCCACCAGCATAGCTCGTTGGGTCATTGTGATATGCAAGCCCAACCACCATGTCAAAATAGTAGCTATCGGTCGAGCGGGCTAATAGTACTGCCCGGCTGCCAAAAGCTGAGTAGATGGGTTCGACAACGAAGCTGGACGCCTCTAAGGTATGACTAACTGATAGTGACACAAATGCATAGATAAACATTTTGTATGTAGTTTGTTGGATGTGATAAGTCGTGACCAGAGTGAGCACACTTCAATGTTTAAGGAGGAAAAATGAGTTTCCTGGGGAAGATAGTGAGCTTCACTAGGTGTTCCCTATTTCTGCTATTTTTCCTGAAAGTTTCCGAACGTCAAAGTCAGTGACTTGTAGCTAAGAGGCGATGAAAATCTGATAGACATGGAGCCCTCTGAGAGTAGTAACAACTGTATTAGAAGATGGAAAAGACGTTTTGTTAAGCTAAGTAACTATTCATTGCTTAGGGGATTTATATACATATAAATACTGTTCTTATCTTTGAATACTTGTTACTGCGGCTAAAAGACTACATAAACTTGTATATATGCATGAGACTTACCGTAGAGATGTCGCGATCAATGTTACGCAGCATGTTTAGAATGATGGATCTCTCATCGAGTAGGCACCGCATTTCTGTTTCATATCCAGAGAGTCTAACCGTTTCTTCCTTCACAAACGTTGTTGCACTAAACATATTCTCCACTGTCTTTGAAAGCAAATCCGTTTCTCCTCTAAACCATGAGATACAGAAATACAAGTTATATACTTCAGAATCCCCATAATCCCATAACACTCAGCCAAGCCATACTTCACCATTCTCTCGGGTGGGATGACCTTGACACGACCTTTATTTCCAAAAATGTCCAGCTGGTAGATACAATATCTTTTACCAGCTAGTGCAAACCAGTTGATTTTTTCACGCTCGCTTCTAGGTCTTGCGGAACGGTTCCAGGTCTTTGGTGGATTCCGATTTAGTAGGTCTACCCACTCGACCGCTGTCTGTCTGATTAGCACGACGGGCAGTTGGGTGTCGGTTAAATTTGTAGGGAATGTGTGGTTTTTTTTCAAGGACTGTGGTGCATATAGATCCCTGAATTGCTGTGCCAGCAGACAGTTGATCGAAGTTGTTGCGAAAAGAAGACATAAATTGTGTCTAGAGAAATCAGGGGAGAGAAAGTGAGAAAAAGAAACAAATAAATAAAAAACAAACGATAAGGTGAAAGGAAACGGAACGGAAGAAGAAACCACAGTAGTTTCATGAGAGAGAAGTGATGGGGAGACCTCATATTAGGGAGTGGGAACATAAAGTCACTGGAAAAAGAAGGAACAAATGACATTATATGGCGACTTATGGTAATAGAGATAGTAATTCTATCAGTAGGAGATGGTAACTGGAGGAGACGTCCACATTGAAGTGTGAGGTTGAGTCTGGTTCGCAGTGATTGTGTTGTTACGAAGTATTCGGTAGTGGGTTGGCCGCGCTGAGCCAGTAGAGTCAGCGGACGGACCAGTAGTAATTTCGGCAGGCAGTGCGCTCTAGTGGCTGCAAACTGGCAGAGATAAGAAGTGTGAAGGCACACGGGTTTTCTCCCTTTAGTGGGCAGTTCTTTTTGGGTTAGCAGGAGGGTCATCAGAGTGGCTGTTGGGTAGGATTCCACTGTTCGGATGACTTGAGCTACTTAGTATTTTGTAAGCCGTTATCAAGTCACCACGTAATCTACGGTGTCTTAGAAAGCTGGGTTCTAGGTCTCAGTCTATACTTAGACGTAAATGAAGTCTGTCATTCAGTTACACTTCTCCGACGTGGTAAGTCGGATAGAGCAACCTGGCAGTTTTCGAGTTCTTTTGTCTAGTTACTTTTGCTTGGTTTTTGTTTTTCGGTCTTACTGTTGAAGTGGACAGAAAATCGTATTCTGCTATTCCTCTTTTCATATCGGAGAGGTGGCAGATTTGGCAGACTTGGATACACAAATTGCAGGTTGATTTGGTTGAGAAGCCATGTGTTACTAGCAGTTATACCATTACTTTCAACTGCCGTTTGAACATGTGTGTGGCAGCAAATCATTACCTGCAATTGAAAGCTGTAAGTTCAGCGGTATTTAACACGGATGTTTACTTTCACGGCTTCTGCTAACTAGTTGCGCTAAAGGAATACGCTTAGCCTCTACACCACTTGAGATGTCGTGTTACTTTGCCCTAATGACACGCGACCTTTCTACTGGTATTTTAATGGGATTCATTGGATATATTTCTGCCTGACTAATACGCCTTGCAAAAGGCTCACGAGATTTTGTTCTCCGCGTTGTCATTCACAGACCGCATGAACTACGTTTTGATGAGCCATTCAAAGCCATCGGGAATTACGAAAGGGTGTCCATCACCAGTTGAAATGGACGTGCAGATAACATCGGTGTTGACTGTCTGGAACCAGCTTACCCCGAAAAGATAATGGCATTTTTAGCAGTTCTGAGAGAAGTGAAGTAGTTTTTAGGTCTTTGCACAGTATATGCCTAAACACACTTATGTATATACAATTGATTGCGCCAACTGACAGCATCATAGGGTGCCTACTGTGCTCAAGCGATGGGGTGTTATGCAAGCTAACAATGAACTGTATCTGTGTTTCTAGTCAGCCGTCTGGCTATTATGAAACATTGCTCGTCTGGTGGGATTAGCTTCCATGTTGCAGCACCAAAAGTAAGTAGCATATAGACAAAGAGTTTATTAGATGTGACTCTGATCAACATACGTCAGTAGTCTCTGCGCAAACTTATTTCATCACGAAAAAGTTGCATTTTGCGAAGTACAATCTGAAAGATGATGGCAAAAGAGGCCAGTGCATTTGGAACGATTCTATTGCTAGGTTGATCGATTGTCTGTCAGTCTAACTATTGGCGTGGTTAACACAAAATACACTTTTATCGGTCGTCATCCCCTATCAAATCCCCCTTTGGAAGAATGTTACTTGGGGTCAATCCGTAACCACACTGTCTTTTTCCTGCATCTAACCGATCGGTGCAGGTGGCGCTCCTACTTGTTTACCTGAGTCCTTTTTTCCTGTTGTCCAGAGTGTACCCAGTAGGACATCCAAAGGAAGCCCGCGAGCAACTGTATCTTTCGGGGGACATGCGTGCCATGGTGGTTGGTTCTTGTGTTGAGCCCAGGTCTCCGATCCGGCTGTTACACCTTACTTATTGCTGTCACGTCTACCAGTAGTTGACACTCCTACTCATTTGTCTTGTCTGTCTCTACAGTCTGTGGCAAACACCTGTTTCTCGGTCTCGAAGAAATTCCGAGCGACTGGTAAATTAACTGCAGGTGGCCTAGGAATCAAGGCCTCGTGTATTCTTACCAGCTCCTTCCTCATCAGCGCTTCCGATGAACTTTGGTGACCTGGAAGTGTGTCCTTCGGCGTCGTTCTGAATGTAAACAGGGGTTTTCGGATAATATCTGTGGACGTCTCTAACCCCTGTGCCTGCAGCCTAGCTCGCTTGAAGGTGTCCACAAAGCGTTCTGCCTGGCAGTTAGATTGCGGATGATATGGTGATGATTAACTATTCTGTATGACATATCAAAAGCAAAAATATTCGAGCCGTTTAGGAGTGGATCAAGGACAGTTTCAAACAGATCATGAGAGCATATATTAGCGAGGGTTCGTAGGATCAGCTTGGTGCTTTATGGATTGACAACAGCGAGTTCTGGTCATATTGAGGAAGCGTAAACTAAAATTAAATTGCGATTTCCACCGCGTAGTCTAGAGAAATCGACGTGAACACGAAACCATGAGTGTTCAGGCTTTGGTAGTGATGATGCGTGAGACACCTGTTTCTGGGGCTCGAAAACAGACCTGGTGTCATCTAAGGGGAAGAAGGGAGCTTTGGATGCCATACGGCGGTGGAGACGGGACTTGAATACCTTTGTAAAGGGAGGGTGATGCGGAGACTGCCAGAGAGCATATGGATGCGCGTTCCAGAGACTGAGATTTTCAAACCGATCGTGGTGAAAGATATTTGGGCCAACGTTAGACAGATTACAAACTCCATTTATCGAAGTATTGTGGAAGGATGCAGCAGATGAAGACTGACACGTGAGTAACAAACGGCTTTCGCATACGCCGACATTATGTTGAGTCTTCTGGAGCCGGCCGATCCTCCACAATGGCCTCCTTGGAATAATTGTGGTGTCTGAAGCTGTCGATTTGTGGTCGCACTGGGTGGTTAGCTACTTTAAAGCGGATGTATTTCCTCGGCGCTGGTGTATGTGCCTGAAAGACGGCAGTGAAACTAAGAGACCTACTAGCTAGTTGAGACTCCGATATCTGACTTTGACCGGATGGCGGCCTGTGGCTTCTTCGTGATAGGTAATTCTAACAAGATCCGTCTCTCCGACCAAAAGCGTCACAGTCCCGGCATTTTTCTGCCCATAAGGACAAGACGTGACGGAATACCGAGGACCATGATGCCAGCGGCCGATTGGAGGCATCTTCCTTGTGCTTTCTGTCGGCCTAAAAGGGGTGTTGAAGAATTCGATGCTTGGCTAACCACATGCACTTCACGCTCACACTGACGTCCGAATTGGAATCACCTTGTGTACCGTTGCACATCTACCGATCTTTGATATTAGGCAGTGAAGTCATTCAACGTTAGCATTGAGTCTTGCTCCGACCGAATCAGGAATCTCATTCTGATATCAGTAAACTTAGGTGACTGGAGGCTGCATATGGGCATAAACGGTTTGATTTGATCATCAGTAATGGACCTCAACTTGGATTTTTCTCACTCACGATCAAAAGTACTAACACGCATGAGAAAATCATCCTTGTTCATGAACATTTTAATACAATGGTATTTGGTACAAAAAAGAGACGAGTGATTGCCAGAATGTTGCCTTAGGCTCTGAATCCTGACACTTGAACAGCGATCTTTTGGGTTCTTTGGAAGTATAATAGTGCAAAACCGATCCGAACCAGATGGGCGAGGTTTTCTAGGGAGTAGAAGAATTTTCCTAGAGTTGTTCCGTCTAGATGAGTCAGCCCTGAAATTGTTTTCATATCCTCGGAACCAGGTATCGAAGGTTACGTTAACAGTGAAATTCAGGGATACCGCCTGCGATTCCGTTCACGGGAGGGGCTGGCACTGCAGACACAGAAGTTGATTATTTAGCCGTAAGGATTCCCGGCCGAGTAAATCCTTTGTTGATCCTCAGCCGCTGCTCAAGAAATCTTCCCGACTTCGAAGAATCCATTTCACAGTACTTCGGTCGCCAACAATTGTTATATGAAACTGCTATGGCCGCCATCGATGCACGGATATCCGCTGTCAGCCACGTGGTAGATTTCCAACTCGACTAATTGGATGGAGGAGACACCATTGACGCATAGGAGATACCACATCTGACAAGCGCCGTAAGAGAAGCAAGAAGAAGTGTAGGCAATCACAAGTACTAAATAAAGCTATAACAGGAAAAGGTAGCAACTTCGGTAGGTGAGCTACACCTTCTGCTTAAATCAGCGTTTCTTAACTCCTAGAATAGCCCATATACCATCGACTCGGGAAATAGAGATTTAGATACCAGTGCCTCGAAAATCTTGCCGGAGCCTCCTTTCGCGGCTCACCACCAGCCCCGATCAAACCAAAAGTGACTCATAGGGCTGGCAACATGTATTCCGTTAGTAGGCCTCAAAAGGCTGAATAG